AGCCATGAAGGAAGAACTCCATATGAGTTATGGCATGGAGACAAGCCAGATTTAAGACATCTACGTGTATTTGGTGCAAAAGCATTTGTACTCAAGAAAGGTCCAGATCGAGGAAAGCTAGACGAAAAATCTGTAGAAGGTAGACTTGTCGGTTATTCAGAAACCGCGAAAGCCTACAAAATACGACGAAATGATACTGGAAAAATTGAATACACCAGGGATGTATCAATTATCGAGGAACCAGTATTGAGATCACGAAACGTCGAACAGATGGATCTTGAATACATGAATCCAGTAGAAGACGCTCCTGAGCCAGGGAGAGAGACCAGGAATGAGAGAGTCCACAAAGAGCCCGAGATGGGACCACCGAAACGTGCACTGGGAAGACCCGCAAAACAAAAGTGAGGGAAACCCGGGAGACCGAGAAAGCTGTACCGATACGTAAGCATGTCGAGTGTCGCTTCAAGCAATGCATCCAGTCAAGGAGAGGACGTACATGATCCAATGGAGCAAGAAGTAGATGGACCCGACGACGTGTTTTACCAGGCAAGCGAAGAAAATCGAGGCGAGAAAAGACCGCTCGATACATCACTAGTGCAAATCGACAAGCGAGCACGCAGTGAAATAGGTGGCGATGGAGCTGGAACATCGACGAACGACGTCGAAGACCTGGAAGACGACGATGAACCGATAGAGGTTAAATTCATCGAAGAAATGGCTCACATGGCTGACATTGAGCTAGAAGAAGCGACAAAAGGCGATAATGCACACGAGTGGAAGCGTGCAATCGCTGATGAGGTGCGTTCACACCTGCAACATGGAACCTGGGAGCTGGTAAAATGACCAGAGCGAGGGAGAGTGATCGGCTCGAAAGTAATTCTGAAAAATAAAACAAACGCAGAAGGAGAAATCACGCGCAGGAAAGCGCGTATAGTAGCCAGGGGCTTCACACAAAGACCTGGATTCGACTTCGATGAAACGTTTGCTCCAGTAGCGAGACTGGACACCATCAGATTACTAGCAGCATTGTCGACGGAGATGGGAACAAAATTACATCAAATGGATGTAATAACGGCGTACTTACACGGAATAATTGACGAGGAGCTATACATGGAAGCTCCGACCACGTTGAAAGAGACTCTGGAGTTCATCGTACGAAGTGAGAGAAGAGATTCACCATTACTTCCGATGGCAACGAAGATGCTTGAGAACTTCGAAAAAGGTGAGCAAGTTTGCAGACTGCGCAAAGCAATATATGGATTGAAACAATCTGGGAAAAAGTGGTACGAACGCTTAAAAGCTACACTCCAGAAGTTGGGATTGGAGCCAACGATATCAGATCCATGTCTTTTCCAATACAAAGAAGACGGAAAAATAATACTAGTCGCTGTATATGTAGACGACATCTTGCTATTGACGTCGAACGACGAGAAATGGATCATAGATTTAAAACGAGGCCTAAACAAAGAATTTGAAATCAAGGACCTCGGAGAGGCTAAATATTGCCTAGGCATCGAAATTAAACAAGAGCCAGGCAGGGTAAGCTTGAGTCAAAGAAAGTACGTCAAGGATTAACTGAAGAAATTTAACATGGTAAATTGTAATCCACAGAGCACGCCAGCAAGCTCAACGTCAAAGTTGAAAGCCGCAAAAGACGCTGAGAAGCAGACGAAGAACCCGCAGTACCGAGAACTAGTCGGATCACTGATGTACCTATCAATAGCAACGAGACCAGACATTGCACACAGTGTAAGCGTGCTGAGCCAGTTCAATGAGCATCCAAATGAGGAGCATTGGGGAGCTGCGAAGAGGGTACTAAGATACCTGAAAAGAACGTCAAAATTGGGACTTGTATATCGACAACCGATTGGAAAAATCGTAGGATATACTGACGCCGACTGGGGCAATGATCCCACCGATTCAAAGTCGTACACGGGGTACGCGTTCATCCTGGGAGGAGCCGCAATTAGCTGGAAATCCAGGAAACAGAAGACAGTGGCACTGTCGACGACGGAGGCTGAGTACCAGGCCCTTACAGAAGCCACTAAAGAGTCCATGTACTTGAGAGGACTCATCTACGAGCTGGGAATTCCACAATTCTCAGATGGAGAAATTTATTGCGATAACCAGGGCGCAATAAAATTGACAACGGCGACGAAGTTCCACGACCGGACCAAGCATGTCAGGATAAAATTCAACTTCGTCAGAGAAGCGGTTCAGAGCCAGACGATAAAGCTGGCACACATGCCAACAGAAGAGATGATCGCTGACATTTTCACGAAGCCACTAACCAGAGAGAGATACACTGATATCACGAAGGCACTGGGAGTGAGTGAGACGGAGTAATACAGCACACGTGCTCGTATTAAGGGAGAGTGTCGGAGATAGTAATACTCACACTGCGCTGATCGTCGATTCATCGCGCATGCTAGTTGCGCCGACACATACACACATATGCATGCATATCGGCATATACGTTTTCTCTAACCATTCGCAGCTAGTCGTCAAGTCTATACACATCATGTAATACATATATATATTTTTCTACTTTGAATAAACGTTGCATATAATTTAAACAACTCTTTTATTAATTATACTATTGAACCCTGCCTATCTCCCATATAAGATTTTCAAAAAAAAATACCAAAAAATTTTCAAAGGTCAACTTTCAGCGAAGCTATAGACTTAAAAAATAATTTAATAAAATCGTTCCATCAATAATCTGCTATTTTTTAATATGAAAAAAGGTGTAGCTTCACTGCGAATGAACCTATTAACTTATTTCTTTTCTTTGAGTCTTTGTTTCTCATTACCCTTTACGAAAAGTAATATTGGCAAAATGTTACAAACCGTTCTTTTTATTTCTTTTTCTTACTTTTTAGAATCAATGACAATTTTTTTGACAAAAACCACTTTTAATCATTATCAAAAGTATAAATGATTTATTATTCATTTTTTTTTATAAAAAATTTCAGGGGGCCCACTTTGCCCCCAAAATTTTGAGTCCTAAATTTTAGGGGGGCACACTTTGCCCCCCCCCCTACTCCTACTTACCCGAGCGCGATTTGGGCTGGGACTTTTGATTGAAGAATAAGAACTTGATATTATTTTCTCTGCAGTAGAGACAGTCGAATTCATCAGTACTCCAATCAACACCAAAAATAAAAATAGTAATTGTGACTTCACCATTTTTAAACCGGAACTTGTTATAAATGATCGATTAGATTTTTTTTTATGTGACAAATAGTTAATTTATTATGATTTTACTAATACAATCTAAAAATGAGAAAAATAATAAGCTTATAGCCAAATGGTTGGTAAAAGCTATAGTAATGCATAACGAATTTAAAAATGGGTATTTATATACTACATAGAAATTGTTACGTATTGAGGTATTAATCATGTCAATAGAGATTATCTTTTGCGTGACTTACAATACGTCAGTGTGTAGGTGTCTATTACTTTTGATGGATCGCTTTGCATACATTTTACAACGTAAAATTGTTCTTATGCTCTAAGTTAACGGTAGAATCTGTTCAAAAAGTTATGTTTTCACGAAAAGAGATATGAAATTATAATGTTATTGCAAAATGATACTGATTAACACAAAAAAATTTCATTTACTGCAGTAAATAATGCAAAATATTTTACCGAAAAAAAGTTATAACAAATTTTTCGTGGTCGAATTCTAGCCTTGAGTTTTTACTGCACAACAAATGTGTCTTTACCGATTAACATTTATCGATTGCAATGAAATAATGAGTCAGTTTCCGAGTAGAGTTGGTAACGAATTTAACTACTTTCCGTGAGTATGACAGTTATAAACAGAGTTGTCAAAGTCACCTTTAGTTATCTAATCTCGGAATAACTACCTCATGGCTCATGTGTAAAAATTTTATAAAGGACTCACTGGAAATCCTTTCATTTTTAATGTATGAATACATTTTTACTTCTGAATATATTCTTAAATTTTTTAATTTTAAAATCGATGCAAATCGTTAATTGAAGATTGTTAAGCCGAATAGAAAAATTACCCGCACGCATATATAAAGTAAATGATTAATTTCAAAAGTAGGAAACAGGTTGACCCTAAAGGCCATCCCTGAAACTTCCCGCTAATTCTATACTTAAACGCTTAAAATTGCACTTATGATGTTTTTGATTTCTTCGAGCTGGCATGGGGGCAAAATGTGCACCCCAAGGTATTTTGATTGTTATAGTTAAATAAGGTGCTCCTTTGATTTTAGATTGATAATTTTGATTGTTTGATTTTTGATTTTGATTTTTGTAACTAGGTTAAGGATTGATGTACAAAGAATTTAGGTTAGCTAGAAAAAAGTAATAATTTTTTGTAAGCGGAACGGGGGTCCGCTATTGTACTTCTAAAAGAAAGAACAATAAATACTACTACTATATAATTATATTATATAAAAACTCGATTTTTGCAAAAAGGGGTAAAAACAATAACTTTCGATTTTCGAAAATTTTTAATTTTCTTCTTGGAAACTAAAAAACGGTTTGTTTTCAAAAAACTAAAAACTTTGAAATAGATAATTTCTCGAGCGTTTTCAGCTCGTACATAGTGGGGAGTTTTATTAGGGATGGCCTGCAGGGTCAGTTAACTCGCTTGACTTCCAACTATGAGCACTGGCCAGGCATGGGTTCGAGTCCCACCATAATCGAATAATTTTCGCTGTGCGCTAGGTTAATTTTCGATTATTTTTGACTGAGGACTCGGCTCATTGCCGAACGAACATTGGCTGTACATGATATCATCATAAAAGGCCAGTTGGACTACATCAGTAAAGAAAAACAACAAATCAATATTAACCAAATTATCAGAGATTATTTAACAAAGGTTTTGACAAAATTATTCTTAAATATTTATATAACTCTTATATTTTTCAGGTATTCTATCTCAGTTCCTGTCATTGCCGATATACTTGCCCTTGGGCAGAATATCATACTCAATTTACCTACTTCACTATATAGGGCAAACCATGGGAATACAATCTGTTAGAGTTCCTATGTACATTGACGAGTTTCGGATGGTAAAATTTTTATAACTCATCAACTTTTTACCTTGAATTACTATTGTTTAATACTCGAGTAACTATTGTTTAATCTATTTTGCAGATCAATTTTTTTGTCAGTGATCTAGTAATCTACATTTTCGGCGGATTTATCTTTTGTCTCATGTTCGAGTCACCATTTTTGGTACTACAAAAATTAATATTAGCTCATAGAACTGAAAGGATAAGCCAATCTTCGGTTGAGGATAAAACTAATACTTCTAAGAAATACTTAAAAGAATAATTTTCTATTGAAAACAAATCAAATATATTTGATTATAATCTGAAATTTTATGAGTAAATTTTCTACTTTATTTTATGTCAAAATTTATTTTTGGGAGACAAAAATTCTAACAACAACAATCTTGAGACAATAAACACATATTTCCACATTACAACTTTGAACTATAGTTTATGTCTTGTATATTATAACTACACTTGAACTACTTTAAAAATATATAAAGAATAAAAATATAAAATATAAGAATACTGGTGTTTGAGGGTCACTCGCAATAAAAGTGAAACTTTTGGTAGATTATGAATAGATGGATTACCTGGAAGGCGCCGAAAACATCCATTGTCAATGAGTCAATGAAAAAAAAAAAAACTGAAGGACTGTAAACTTATGTATATTGAGTACATTTATCCCAATAAAGGCGCGTGCGCATTATCATCCTATTTTAACTTTTTGAAATTTTTTCACATTTGCTTTATTTTATTATTATTGCACGACTCATGATACAAAGCATCAGAGCGAGCTTTATGATCGAGAAATTTTTCATAATGAAATGAGCATTATGAGTCCTGCAATTTTGTACTTTCCAAATTTTCTAAAAATATGATTCGTAAATACTCCCATCCCAAATATCCTCCAAATTGTAAGTACTAATTTTTTGCCGATGAAATCGGCCCTGTAGAGAGTGGTAAAAATTGATTCTTTTAAAAAGATTTAATAATTGAGGCACCAACGGCGTTCAAAAAAATAACTTACTTCTTGTTTTTTATTACATTTAAAACATAAACTTTTTTGGTCAGCTAACTTAAAAAAGCATACAGAGCAGAAATAATGACGGATCATTGGCGATTGAACGTTTTTGAAAAATTTCCGAAAATAATATAACGATTTTATGCATAAAGTTGGCTGAATACAGTGAAGTTGAATTAAGGATAGTAAGTCTGCTAATAAGGCTTTGGTTATTTTATGACGTATCATAGACAATTAGATATAATTAGATAATTGTCTATTCGTATAATAGACGTATCATTCACATAGAGAGGACGAGTTGAATTTTCATTGTTAAAATGAAACACATCTTTAATATCATTTGAATCATCAGCAGATTGATACTCTCTAAATCTGAAACAGTGAAAATCACTGGAAATTAGTAGTAAATTCACTGTTTCACAGTTATAAGTATACCACTTGGTAGACTTATAACTGTGAAACAGTGAAATTCCACTGATTCATTTTTAGAGAGTAACTGTCAGATTCACTACTCAGATTTGCTATCATCTGATTGGCCAGGATCCTAGTCGCTGAACTCATTATTATCAGAGCTACTGATAATAGATTGAGTTTCTTCAACGTCACTGAAGCAATTCATATACTCGCTGTCACTATCACTTATTTCATTGTTGGTCACCATAATCATTGAAATCGACATCAACATTACCTCCGTCGTTTGTGTCTTCGGGATAGATGGTTTGAAAATTGTCACACATCCCATAACTACTTACGCTATCCTCCACGAAAAAAATTTATAATAAGAATATAAAAAATATATATTTCATTTTATACGCATAATATATGTGAAATATATTTGAATTATAGTATACTTATATATTTTTCGTCCTAGGCGGACGTATGGGGGTTTTTACGCACAGACGACACTCAATTTGTAAATGGATGGAATTAAGCAATAATGTAGTTAAGACGTTATTGCTTAATTCCATCCAAATAATACGCCTACGCGCCAGTATCTACTGGGCTGTATAGAACTTTATACAGTCGAAGACAATGGCCGCGTTCAGGTTTACTAAGTTCTTGGCAGATCTTAGCATATCCTATTGAATAAAATGGTGACAGCTGAATAATGATGTAAATACCTGAATAGTAAGTATAGATGTTTTTTATTTTGGACAGACTGACTTGAATAACGCTGATAATTGAAATAAGTATACTCAAGTATTTATATAGTATCGATATAGAGCGGTGTAAACTAACCTCCACACATCATACTTGTAGTTCAATGAGAAAAGTAATTCATACTTATTTTTTGCAATAAAGTTTTTTTTTTATTTATAAGTGTGAAAATATAAGAAATAATGGATAATTTTGATTTATTGGATATGATAATAATGGACGAAATGTTACTGGCACAAGCGGAGGAAACTATCTTCAATGTGATTAATGGATTATTGGGTAATTATTTAATTTAATGAAGGTGATTTTGAAGTACATGAGCTAAACTTTTAATAATTAATAAACTAATCCTTATACTTTATTTAGTTTTGATAATAAAAATTAATTAAAGTCTGTTAAATTCACAGTCCTTTAATTTATTATTATATGACCTTTATTATTATTTCAAGTTAGTTAACTTTAACGTTTCAGATTTTAACAATCATTTGTTAATGGATGATTTTTTTTTATACGACGGAGATTTGGATGGGGATGATGTGAATGCACGGGGTGATCCACCAACTCGAATTAATAATTATTATGAGGAAGTGATTCCTGAATACGATGATGAGCAATTTTATTTGCATTTTCGCATGTCACGAGAAGCATTCATAGTAAGTTTCTGATTTAAACTTCTTTAATTTTCTTAAATGATTTTAATTACTAACTTAGTGACAGTTTATCTAAGGCAAGTATCACAATTACTTAAAGATTAAATAAATTTTAGGATCTACAAGAGATTATTTCTCTGCATGTACGTAATTTGAATGACCCAATACCACTGATCATTTTAATTCTATCTCATAATTTACTTCCAAATTTTATTTCTTGGCCAAATGATGAAGAATCTGCATTAATTGAGAATGTAAACTTAATTATATCATTCTTTAACTTTAACTTTGATGAAATTAATTTATTCATTTTAATCAGAAAACGCTCCAAGATGGCGGCGGATACGGAAATTGCTGATAAGTGTGAAAGTACTTTTAAGTGTCACTCGAATATGAAAGTGCCAAAAATTGTCATATGTATTGTGTGTGAAAGTGTTTACCATGAAGGAGACTTTAATCGTTATAAAAAGGGTTATTTTGTGGGCAAACGACTAGTTGTTTGTCCTGATCACTGCGAGGATAACATAACCTCACTCGACCACGAGGCACTGGATGAAAATGCGAGGAAAATAATAGCACAAATCAAACAACACGAGAAAGAAGACCTAAAAACCTGCCTGAGTAGTAGTGTAATGCTGAACATGTCACAACAAAATGATATAATGAATAAAACGATAATACATGATGAAGGAGATAAGTTAGTGAGTGCTAAAATGGAAATTGAACTGCTACGGGAACTAAACCAGGAATTAAAAAGTAAAAATATGTTACTGTCTGAACTATTAGAATACAACAAAGCGGAGATAATTAAGTCTAAATCTTATGCTGACACGCTGAGAACAAATAAAAATGAAAAATTATCGGACAACATTCCAAATATTGTAATAAAAGCTATAAACAGAGAATCAGCTAAGTCATGTGAACAGACTTTTAAAAAGAATATCTCTGCAAATACCAGTGCTCAAATAAAAAATGTATTGACTACCAAGACAGGTACTGTTATTGTTAAGTGTAAAAATAAAGAAGATGTCTCAAGAACAAAATCTATACTATTGGAAAAACTTGGTGAAAATTATGAAGTTGATCAAGACAAAATGAATTTACCTAAGATAAAAATTTTCGACATTGATAATGATATGGATAAAGATGAATTAATTGAAGACATTTGCAATAGAAATAGTGTAATGTTCGACGGAAATTTTAAAATTGTAGCTGATTTTACTAGTGGTAATAAAAAACGTAGCTTAATACTGGAAGTGTCAACAAACATATACTTAAACGTCATGTCAGCTGGAGTGATATACGTTGGTCATAAGAGCTGTCGCGTATATGATACTTTTGACCTAAGTATATGCTACAAATGTGGCCGTGGTAATCATAGTCAAAAAAAGTGCAATAATGAGGCAGTTTGTCTTATTTGTGCTGGCAGGCATGATACTAAGGATTGCACAAGTTGTACCAAAAAATGTGCAAACTGTGTATACTATAATAACCAGTTTAGTAAAAACAACTGCACTAATCATGTTGCCACTGATGTTACTGCGTGTGAGTATCTTAAGTCCAAATTTAACAAACTACTGAAATCAACTGAATATCCTATTCAACCACGGCTGCCAACCCACCTTGGAAAAGTACTTGAGCCGAAGAGGTCGGCAACGCAGATCTAGCAACAGTTAATGTCATTCGAATTAAACAATTATATAGAGGAGTCAGTAGATAATCTAGAAGATCTAAATCGCAGTATCAACGATGCTGGTCTTCTTCTGCTGCATGTAAATGTCAGGAGTATAAATGCTAATTATTTAAGACTGGAATTATTAATTGCATCTTTAATAACTAAACCTCATGTAATTGTCTGTTCAGAAAGGTGGAATATACCATACCAAAATATATTCCCGTTAAATAATTACACGTGTTATTACAATAATAGTCGTATTAACAAAGCGGATGGTGTGATTATTTATATATCTAATGATTTAGATCACACTACGATAACCGAAGTGGTAGGCCAGTGTAAAATACTCACTACATGTGTTAAAATTAATTCCACCAGTGTTTTAAAAATTAGCGGTATCTATAGATGTCACGATTATGATAAGCGTCAATTTTTAAATGATCTTGAAACGTACATGAGAAACAACAAAAAAAATAACAATCATATATTAATAGGTGATTTTAATATAGATATTAATGATGTAGATGAGTTTTCAGAGTTATTTTTAACCAATTTGTTAGATATGAATTTTTTACTTATGTTTAATAATATTACTAGGCCGAGTGAGAACGGTGGGTCCTGTATAGATAACATGTTTGCGAAAACAAAGATTAAGTGTGAATCCTATACCCTCAAGCAGGTATTTACAGATCACTATTCTATCTTTCTAGCAATGAAAATCAATAAACAGCAGCAAACTAAAGACATTGACACGTTCATTAATTACAATAAACTAGTTAATATTTGCAGTAGAACAGATTGGACAAACCTGTTATCTATAGAGGATTTAAATGTTACCACTGACCAACTCATTAATAAAATCCAAACTATATTAAATGCGTCTAGGGTTAAGAACAAAAAACAAAAGTTTAAACCAAGAAAAGACTGGATTACTCCAGGCTTGATGAAATCGTGTTATACTAAGGAAAAAATGTACAATGAATGGAAAAAAGACAAAAATAATGTATCCTTAAAATTAAAATATTTAAACTATTGTAAAAAACTAGATAAGGTACTGAAAACTACTAAGCTAAAATATGAAACAGAAGAAGCTAGACAGAAATCAAAAAATAGCAAGGACCTATGGCAATATATTAACAAAAAGTTAGGTAAAGAATCTCATACAGATAATCAAATAGATTACGTTATCAAAGATGACGTAAAAATATCAAACACAAATGAATTAGCAAATATTTTTATTGACTTTTTTAGTAACGTTGGGCCCAAATTAGCTGCAAAAATCCCAGGTAATGTAGGTGGTGCTGATGAGACTATAAATCAAAACCCAAATTCTATCTTCCTGAATCCTACTGATCAATATGAAATTGAAACAATTGTTAGTAAATTAAAAAACAAAGCTGGGGGTGTAGATGGTATAAGCACTAAAGTTCTCAAAATTATAATTCCGTATATAAGTAATGTTTTAACATATATTTTTAACAAATCCATGACGAGTGGTATGTGGCCTGGGGCACTCAAGTGTGCGGAAATTATACCAATATTTAAATCAGGGAATAAATATCTAATGACGAATTACCGCCCTATTTCACTCATATCAAATCTTGCTAAAATCTTCGAAAAGATAATACATGCGCGTTTATATAAGTTCATCGTAGAGTGCAATATTATAAGCAGTGATCAGTATGGTTTCATGAAAAAAAAAAAGGAACTAAAGATGCCCTGGAATCGATAGCTAATTTTATTTATACCAATATAGATGCAAATAACCCAACAGTTATTACTTTTCTAGACCTTGCCAAAGCATTCTACACAGTAAATCATAATATTCTATTAAACAAATTATACAAGTACGGCATTAGGGGCACAGCATATGATTTAATTAAAAATTATCTTTCGGATAGACACCAGGTAGTTAAAATTAATACGAGTATAAGTAAAAAAAGTATAGTTAAGTTAGGTGTTCCACAAGGGACCGTGCTAGGTCCTCTTCTATTTATACTGTACGTGAATGACATGTTTAAAATCCTACCAAATAAGTGTCTAGCGGCGTTTGCTGACGACACGGTGATCAAATGTGTTGGCAAAACTTGGTCAGAAGTACAAAAAAATATGTCCAGTTACTTAGATAAGATAGGAATATGGCTACAGAGAAACTGTTTAACATTAAATATAGATAAAACCACCTACGTCACCTTTGGTTCTTATAGTGATAGTGTACCTGAAGTGTTCCAGCTAAAAATATATAATGAGATAATCAAAAGGGTCAATAGCTGTAAATATTTAGGACTATATTTTGATTGTCACATGAAATGGGATGTACATATAGGGAACCTAATAAGAAAAGTTAGATTCTATTTATTTATTTTTTACAAGTTAAAAAAATATATGTGTAGAAAGTCATTGAAAATTATTTACCATGCGCTCTTTGAAAGCATCGTGAACTATGGAATAATAGCCTGGGGTGGATGCAACAAAACCACTAAGAGCATTCTAGTCAGAATCCAAAACAAACTCATAAATATTTTTTCTAATGACAATTCTATATTAGGGATAAGTGAATCATATATCCTTGAGGCTCTGTGTTATCACTATGTAAACTGTAAAAATAATTATGAGACTCATCAAGGAATTACTAGATATAAAAGTCTAATAATACCTAAAGTTAACAAAGCAATAGCATTTAAAAACTCCACCATTGTTGCGATAAAATATTTCAATAAATTACCTGCTCATCTAAAAACGCTAAATCTAAATAATAAAATAATAAGAAAGAAATTGAAATACTGGTTGACAACCACTTTACAAAATTAGACTATGTATTTTCATCATATATACACGTATTTTTTGTTTTTGTTTTTGTATACTTTTCAATAGTAAAGATCCTTTTATACGACGTGTTCCTACATCACCCTATTTATATGTCGAGGGATGCTAATATAAGTTATGTTTCTTTTCTTAGGATAAGTCATTAGCCAGGCCTATGTACAGGTGTTGTTTCACACCTCTATAGGTACATGCACTGCGTATTATATATTAAATGTATTATGTATGTATGTATATATCTTTGTATATCCTGGTAATAAATAAATAAATAAATAAATAAATAAATTGTAGGTTTATTATAAATTGAAGGGAATATCGTTAGGATGTAGCTTGACTTGTCTCTTCTTCACCCTTTACACCTCCAACGAAATGGTCACTGCAAATAGTATCTGTTGGTTTCGGAGTCCACGGTGATCCGTCAATCCTAATAAAAATTTTTTTTTTTCATTAAAAAATGAATACATTCAAGTTAGCAGCCACTACAGAATTTTATAATTTTTTTTAAGAAAAAAATTAGTTCCAAAAAATTAATTTTTAAAAATTGCATTTTTAATTTTTTAACATTTTTACAAGTCGATTTATTTTATATTTTTTTTTTTTGCCATTATTTATTTATTAAAGAAAATTCTTAAAATTATCAAATATTTGATAAATTTATTTTCATGAAAAACCAATTATCACAAAATTATACTCACAAATTTATTAATATTACAAAATTATTTTCATTCATACACGTGAATTGGTGTAAACATATTATTAAGTTAGGTTATACACTACTTACTTTTTTCTCTTAACTGCATTAATCCATTTTCTCCTTTGTTCTAACTTCCAACTAGCACTTGGAAATGTATAAAATTTGCAGTTACTATTTCTGCCAGTATTCTTACATTCAACTACACAGCAACTATTATGGACCATTTTTAATTATATTATCTAATTGTTTACATTTAAATCAAGCATGATTTAACGAAAATTTGACCACCGCGATCGCTGCAATCGATTCAACTGTCCCCACCATACACTCCGCACCTTGCCAATAAGACTTTTTACCTAAATATTTATTGGAGACGAGAGCTTCCAGCACACTCCTTGAGTCGGAGAAAATCACAAATTTCCTTTGAGAAGATTTGAGGATTAGCTTCAAAGCCTCCATGATCGCCATTCCTTCCAGTGTAAAGATCGATGCTATTTTAGAAGTCCGAAACTCCAGCTCCACATTGTCACTACCTCCTACTATGGCAAAACTGCCAAAAACGGAGTTGGGAGACCAAGAGCCGTCTGTGAAAAAGCATGTTGAATTCTTGAGTACCTCTTGAAATATTTCCTTGAAAAAACTATCACTCACATCTAATCTTTTAATTTTTTCCCCCTTTGCGAATGATATCAAGGGTCCATACCATGTAGTACTGAGTTGGTAGTCATAACAACTCGGAGTTAACGACGATCTGATCAAATGCTGGATTTTCTGGTGATCCCGAAAGTAGTCTACAAATAATATTTTTCCATCTCTATTAATTTTAGTCGGGTTATCCTCCAGCTTTATGATATTCTCCAACTTGTCGATGAGAGGGTGATCGCAGGTAGTCAGCATCCTCGTTAAATAGTTGTTACATATATAAAACCGAATCGGAGGTATAGCGGGGGTTCCTTAGCTTCTGCTAAAATAACATTAGTGGTAGTGGACGCTCTATATCCTAAAGCGGCTCGCAATGCTCTAAACTGAATTTTATCGATCTTATTGATCTGTCCTAGTGTCAATTTGTGGAAGAACATGGCTCCGTATTCAATCCGTGAGCGAATCAGTGCTCGGTATAATCCTATTAAGAGCGTCGGATTCGCACCCCACCAGGTGTGCCTCAGGCAGCTGATTGTTTTCAGGGGACTTTGACATTTCTTTCTAATTTCTTCGATGTGTTTATCCCAGCTCAGAGATGACTGAAAGTACATTCCCAGGAAGCAAACCCACTCCGAATTCTGGATTTCCGTACCATTGATAGTGATTTTCCAAACCTTCCGTCCTGCAATTATCTTTCCTTGGTTTTTTAGTTGAAGCTCCTTGTTACCCCGACTGAAGACACAGAGTTTACTCTTTGGAGCAGATAGTTCAAGGCCTAGCTCTGCGAGAGCATGTCCAATTTTGTTCACCGCGATTTCCGAGTTTATTAAGGCCTAGACATGTAGGAGAGGCAGTAGAGAGTACACAGATATCATCAGCATATTGAGCCAATTCGCAGGTATCATCTTCTTTAATTAATCTTTCTAGTTCTTGCACGTAAATTGTGTATAATAGAAGACTCAAAACACTTCCTTGCGGCAGACCTCTAAATGACCATCGAGTTTCGTCGATTTCTCCAAACTGAAATGATAAAGATCTTCTGGAAACGAGATTATATATAAATGCATTTAGGTTTTCTGTTATACCAAGATTTTTAAGCTTGTCAATTAAAAGGTCAGCAAGTACGTTGTCGTAAGCCGCTTTAATGTCCAGAAAAGCTGCACATGTAGCTTTGTCTTCTTTAAATGACCGTAAAATCGGCGTACTGAGGATCTCAATATTATCCATACAAGACTTGCCCTTTCTGAAGCCATACTGTGATTTAGGAAGTTTGTTATGGTGTTCTAACCACCACATTAATCTGTTATTTAAAATCTTTTCCATAACCTTGCTTAAACAAGGAGCTAGAGAGATAGGTCTTAGCTTATTTTTATCCTGTTTGGGAATAAAAAAAATTGAATACCTCCTCCACTCTTCTGGGAATTCTTGAGAAGCGTAAACTTCGTTGCAAATATTTAATAGCAAATTTTTATCTTCTTGGGGGAGCATAGTTATAATTTTGTAATCTATTCCGTAATCCAATCCTGGACTGGAACGAATATTTAAATTTTCTATTGCAAAATCTAGCTCTTTCTCATCAAAGGGGAAATCGAAGAAAGCGTCTCCGTCTGCGTTCACAAAACTCGGTTTTTTCATAGACACCCAGAGTAGGCAGAGATCATCAACCATTTTTTTCCCGTTTAAAATCTTTTCATCAGTATATTCGTTGGCGGTTTCTTGATAGTTCCATCTGTTTCGAAAAGCTTTGATCTTTTTCCAAATATATGATGGATTAGTATGCTTATTCAAACCCTCGCAAAAATTACAAAAGCTCTCCTTCTTGATTCTCTTCAAGCCTCTACTTACTTCTGCCCCTGCTTTTTTGTATGCAAGAAAGTTTTCATAGCTAAAATTTTCTTTAAATTTTTTAAGGCAATTCTTTCGGTGTTGAATTAGCTCTTCACACTCTTCATTCCACCATGGGCAAGGCGCTGCTCGTATTTTTACGAGTGCTCTATTCATGCGGTATTTACCTGACCTTTTAGGAGTTGCTTGGTCAAGACAATCTTCAATGATTGCTGTGAAGGTAGCATATTTGACTTTGATGTCCATTGGCTCCCACAGTTCTGGTTGTTGAGACAGCAGATGAGTCGCATTGTCTTGCGAAATTCATGGAAATCCGTCTTTTTGTAGTATAGTTTCTTTCTTTTAGAAATCATAGACTCACGCTCACCTTGTGCTTGTACACCCTAATCAATGAAAATAGGCGAGTGATCACTACCCCAGGAATCTTCTCCGATCTTCCAGTGAGTCTGCAGTGCTAAGCTTTCATCAGAGATTGTTAGATCTATGGAAGAGCTAGAACCATAACTTGAACTGAGGTAAGTGGACGATCCACTATTTAAACAGACCAGATCATTAGATTCAATACTTGCAGCTATGTTCCTGCCTACTTCACATACTTGCACATCTCCCCATAGATCATGGTGTGCATTGAAATCACCCGCAATTATTTTTCTTCCTTTAAACTGCTTGAAGAAATCCTCCCATTCTTGAAAACTTACTCTGACATTACCCTTTGGAGGACGGTAACACGAGGCGATGGTCATTGGGCCATCACACAAGATTATTTCTATTGCGCAAACCTCCATTTTGCTTTGACAGTCATATAAATCATGAACTATTCTATATCTCAGAGAACTACGAATCAGTATCGCTACACCACTTCCATTCTGGTCCCTTCGATCCTTCCTAACCACGTCGAAACCCTTCAAGTACAGTACATCTTTAGGCTTAAGCCAAGTTTCTGAAACAATGAAAATATCTACATTAGCCGAGTTTTTTTAAGTCTTTTACATGAACTCGCTGTACAGTGCCATCTATATCTTGAATTAGGAATATTTTCCTGCTTATTTTTTCTATTACTGTATATTGCCCGCTATATTTTGGCGCCAATTTCGCTGAGAATTGTTGTCCAGCGGCCGATAATAAATATTCTCGTTTGGAAACTAATTCACCGACTGCTGGTTCCCTCAGTTTCTTCTCTTTTTATTATAATTTTTACTTTGCCTTGTAAATGCGTCTACTTAATTTATTTTTACTAACTCGTATGCATTTTGAAGTAACTCTACTCGTCTATTGATGTCATCATCTTCTTCTACCGTGTATCCTTTCTCTAGCTGAGATCTTGTTGTGTTTGGAGCGTTTAATTCTCTCCCGTAGTTTAAAAATGCTGGCGTGGATTGTGTACTATCATGTTTAGCTGTATTGTAAGCGTAAGCTATTTCATTAATATTATTTGCCCATGGGCGCTTAGACTCAAATTTATAACTAGCAAATTTACAAGCACTATTTTCATAGAATTGTAAAGTATTAAATGAAAAGATTCTTCCCTTTTTCATGGTCAAATAATAGTATACTTATTGTCATATTTAATCTATTCAATAGTTATTCTATTGTCATCAAGCGCCATTGTTTATCCAATTATTAGTACATTCAGTAATAATCCGGTCAACTAAAGTGTCTAATCATTTAATCTTACCGGAATAATACGTTCAAATTCGATACGCCCTTACCTGGGTTTTAAAAGTTAAATTTTGGGGTACGCAATAATACGTTATATGAAATTGTATGAAAAAAAGATATATACTTTCTATTTTTCAACTATAGCCAAATTTTGCTATACTAATGAGTAATGAGGTACTTATACTGTTAGAATATTTTCAAAATTAGTCTTAGGACATTCTCCAGAGCGATCACTTCGCAATTTGCTCTGAGTTATTTTGGCTTCAAGTGCTTTCTTTTCTTAAGTGAAATTTTGTGAGATTTTCTCGATCAAAATGTCTGGAAAGTTAAGAATTATGCTCGCTTTGGACGTAATGAGGCTGCCTGAAGAGAAAATCATTCAAGTAGCCAAACTCACCGAAAAAATACAACCCAATGCGATCGTGGATGGTGAGATAGACTTTTGGGAGTTTACCTCCGATACCATCAGGAGAGTATTTATGATGGTCCAGATGATTGTTAAAAATAATCAGCAGTCCATTATGAGTTTGGAAGAGTTGAAGGAGAAAGTTCAACAAAATGAAACATTGCTGAATGCTGTTGAAAAATATCTGCCAAACTTTTTAATGCCAAAAAAGGAAAGTAAAAATGATACTAGCAGCAGTGATAGCAGTAGCAGCAGTGATAGTAGCAGTGATGAAGAAGAAATGGATAAGACTTCGCATGCTAACAACTTCGAAGAGAATTTTAAAAAATTGTTAGAATGCAGCTATTATTGCAAAATCTTTACTGATGATGAGAAAAAATCAGTAAAGATGACAATCAAACGGGATATAAAAGTAAATCTTGATTTGAGTGAGAGTGAAAGTGAAGATGAAGATGAACCCGAGAAGTCAACTTAATTGGATCCACGGTGTATTAAGGTTTCTGTGGCCTTAGAACGCCTGGATTCTATTCCGCCATCGTTAAATAAAAAACCAGTGATATTTGGTCAAACCATCAGCCAGCCTACCAGCCGAGCTAGCAGCCGAGCTAGCAGCGAAGCTAGCAATGAAGCTACCAATCTAGCTAAGAGAAAAAAATCACTGGGAGCTCAGGAAAGGATTTTAAAACGATTTACACAATTCAAGCAACGAAAACGAAAATCCTAAATTGTGTTGAAATATATATGATATTAAAATTTTTGTTTTTAAACTTATGTATTATAATTTAAATTTATTAATATTTTTGAATTTTTTTTTTGTAATTTATAATTTCTATTTATAAGTAAAACTTTTGTGAATTTTTAATTTTATTTTGTATTTTGTATTTTTTATGTAATTATAAAATTGAATTATGTTTAGTTTTTGTAAATATGTAATTTTTATAAATAATGTAGATTATAAATTTAAACTTAAGTTTTTAATTTTTGTAAATATTTAATTTTTATAAATACTGTAAATAATTTTAATAATAAAAAAAATATGTAAATAATATATAATAATATTTTACTAAAGATATAGTAAGATTAAATAAAAATTTTTTAATAAGCCTAATTAATGTTTTTTTTTATTATAACTATTATAATGTTTTTATTATTGCATAATTTTTAATGGTTTAAAAAAATAATAGTCTGAGTTTTCTCAAAATTGTAATCATTTAATTTTGAACAACTTTGCAATCATTTAAGTTTTTTGGACCGTCAAAAAAACTATTTTAAAGTATAAATAGAATATAATAATATTAATAATCTATATTATTAAGAGAATAAGCAAAATTTAGAGGCCAGTGTATTTATATGATAAAATGGGCTTTTATAGTTAAATTTGGTATCTTTGGAAAAGTCTTGACCTGGAGTTGTGCCGTCTCATAGTTTCATATAACTATCAATTTATGCTCGTGCGTTACCCCTTCCATACGAAGTCCCCGGCCATAATGATAAGTATTTAGGCGGCATTCGAAAATGATCTAGGGTAGAGGTACCGAATACTGAACAGGCTCCATTTATTGAACGAACTGCATAGAAAGTTAATTTTTAAAATAATTTGAAGTCGTATTTCATATTAAATCTACAATTATTATTAAATAGTTATTTTGTAACTATAAAAGTTTGCATGCGCAAACATATTGCGCAATAAAACTTAAAAAAAAAAACAAATGTTTGAGTACACCTCTCGGCAAACTATAGAAACCGGTCATTAGAAGCTTAACCTTGTTGTGTTTGGTAAGTACTTTTACAGTGAAATTTTATAAGTTTAATAACTTTATAATAAATAAGTTAGTATTAATCATAAAACTAAAACAATAAAGATTAGTTGTCAATGATTATTTTTATTATAATTGTCGTTTTATTTTAAATATTACTCTGTTCAATAATTGGTGTTGTGAATTATCGAGTGCACCACTAAAATGTCAGTTTTTCAGTAATTAGAACATTTATTAAAATCAAAGCACCATTGAATGATCAGGGTATTATTTGCTAATAATGACGAGTTAACTTCAAAGTTTACGGTTGGAGTTTTAAAGAATTAACGAAATAATTAATAATAAATTTAAATAATACAGAATTTTTTTTTTAAGTTAAAACAAGTATTCATTTTTTTATTTTTATTTAAGATAAGTATGTGTTAAAATGACACCAAAAGCTCCAGCTAAAAAAAAGAAGTCGGTTCAAAACCGCCAGAGATGTCAATATACTCCTGAGGATTTAGAAAATGCTGTGAATAGTATAAGAAATTCAGAATTAAGTATGAACAAAGCTAGTCAGATGTATAATATACCAAAGGCTACTTTATCTATTAAAGTAAAACAAAATCATGCTGTTCAGTGTAAGCTAGGTCGCTCAACGATTTTGACAACGGACGAAGAGGATAAAATAAAAAATTGGATCTTAAATAAAGCTAAATTGGGTTTCCCTATGTGTCGTGAGGATATTAAGAATGCTGTTCAAAAAGTTTTAAAGGAAACGAAACGTGATAACCCTGTTATTGATGATCGTCCTGGACGCAAATGGATGGAATTATTTTTAAATAGGCATCCCGAAATAAGTTTAAGAAACAGTGAAGTTTTATCAAAAGCTAGGGCTTGTGTGACAGAAGAAGGAATTAGAGAATGGTTCACTGGTTTACAAAATCATATTGAAATTGATCAAAAAATTAATTTTTCTTTTAATTACTGATAAAATGCACACAAAAGATAAATACTGAATTTTTATTGTAGAAATTTATGATTCATCAGCACTAGTTCAACTCTCGGCTTGGGCTATTCGAATCATTTCTCCGGCTTACCTGCAAACTTCCGAACTCCTGTAAAAATATCTTCCCCCTCTTTTACCTTCGTCCCTTCTAATTTTTCTTGAAACGAGTTAAAAATATATTTATTTTTACAGATTCTTTTATTAGAAGTAGTTTATATTCAAAAAATTTAAGAAATAATTAATTTAAGTCAATTTTTTAAAAATTATATTTATATAAAAAATAACAACAAAAATTTTTTTTAATTTATTTTATTATTTTACAATAAATTGATGCTAATTTTTTAATTATTATTTTTTTTCACTTAAGTCCACTTGAAAAATATGGAATATGTTTGTATTTAAGTTATTTATCTAAAAAAGAATTATTTACTATCTCATGTAATAATTAGTAGGTCAACTTATATAATAACTAAGAAAATTTTCCTGTATTGTTTGCTACAATACATAATTCCTTCGAACTGTTCAGGTAAGGAAGTACCGTTTGTCAGACTACACTTAACGCCAGTCAAGCCACAGCAACGTCAGGTGTATGAACTCTGGCCACTCTGGCGTGTTATAAGCTTTAAATTTTAGATACTTTAGAAACTCTAGAGTAATTTTATATTAATTGTTTGCATAAATGTGATTTTATTAAAGGTACGTAGTGAATTTTTATTTTTATAATTTAGTATTTAAACTTCTTATTTAATTAAATTTTTTTTTTATTTTAACACGTCTTGGAAAAATTTTGTTGTTTCTTTAAAATATTTATTTATTTCGCGGTATTATTTGTGTTAGAAATAGCAACAAATTCCTTCGAAATGACTTTCTAAGACTGCTTATCAAAAATAAACTGATAGCCGATAAGTAGTAAATTTAAATTGCATAGTTAAAGCTATCAATGACAATAGATCGAACGCAATTATTTTTTTAATTGTGTAACAAAAAGCATTTTTATATTTTCGGAATAAAACTTTGTTAATTATTTAAAAAAAACTTAATCTTCTTTAAATATCTGAAGTTATTCTGATCGTTTTTTTTTATGTATTGATAATGACCATTGTGTACCGTTATTCTGTATCAAACCTCGAAGGCGAAGAATGTCAATTTAATGTGGGCTACGGTATTCAGAATCACATATTTTGAGGGTCAACAGCATTGCATTTAAATATTTTATTAATCTTAAATCAAACTGTTTATTTAAATATTAAATGTTTGCATTTTCTTTCAAGAAGCGAACATAAACATGTCATTGATCTTGACATTATAATATACTATAACTACAATTATATGTGCTAAGTATATTTATTGCGTCATTTCAATGTTTCTATGTTATCTAATAGTTTCACTTTGAATATTTATTATTTATTATTGAAAAATAATTATTAATGCATCGCGAATATTTTTTTTCAGCTAATAAAGTTAAAGTTTTATTCAACAGAACGCAAATGTAAATGCTTAAATAAATGAAGAAGTATACATCATTTTTATTTCAAGGAATATATAGTTTAGTACAAGGCCCGTTGAAGAAGCAACGGTATTCTAATAATCATAATCCGAAACGTTTCCGGCTTGTTGCTTAAAAACATGACAATATTGACCCGTATTTTTAAGAGCCAAAATTTTTTGAATTAAAAATAATAAATTCTATCGAAAATATATTGTAAAATATTCTTTTGACGTTATAGAGAGACAATTATTAAAATTTTTGCAGAATCTGAAATCGTATATAAATATTTTTAGTACCCGAAAAATTTTTTTAAACAAATAAATTACTAATTTCTTTACACTGTAAAGGAAAAAATAAAAAAAAAAATATATTTATAGTTTCTTGCAATTTCTATCCGTTTAACATTTTAAAAATTTGTACTATAATATTTAATTTATTAAAAAAAATCAGAAAAATGATCAGAAGTCTATTAATTTCAATAAAATAAATATTTGATCCTTTTTCATTCTTAATACTTGATAAATAAAAATTTCGGCCAGAAATTTGAGAACTTTTTTTTTTTTAATTTTCTAAATATTAAAAAGAATAATATTCGTCATTTAAAAACTGTGCAGTTCGTAATATTTGAAGCCTCAAGGCCCTTCATTGTGACTGTAGGTATATGAATGATAGTTTTAGCTATAGTCCAACGAATATTTGCAAAGGTAGCACGTTGAACCTAACCTTTAAACCCAAAAAATAAAAACATAATTCTCAAAATTATATGTGTGATGTAAAGAATGTAGGGTAAAGAAACCAAATATTGACCCAACAGCATAACAACTTGATTCAAAATAATCTAATAATTTAATTTTATGTTCAGTACGTAATTATCAATTTTTAAACTATAATTATATCAATGTAAATAAATATTTGCAGTTGTTATAATAAAAAAAAAAACAAAATATAAGCTTGTGTACAAATATCAGAAAGTTGGGAAAACTAGTCATTAGAACTTAATCTCGCCGTGTTTGGTGAGTACATTTGTGATCAATTTATATACAATTAAATCTATACTAATAAATGGAGAGCCGGTTTTTTTATTCGGTTATTCTGCGAAAACTACTAAACCGATCGGAATCATACTTATACCATAAGATGCAGCGTGTTTCAGAGAAGGTTTTAGTATATGATATGTTGGTGATTACTTATCTGGAACCTATATTTTTAACTTCCCGCTAAAAATCTCAGATTTTCAAAAATCAGGAAGTTATTGTTTTCACCCCGTTTTGCTAAAATCGAGTTTTCATCAGATCTCGACGTTTTAAGGTCATAGGAAGCTTCTCTGACTACCCCCGCGGTGGTGTCTGTGTGTCTGTATGTGTGTGTGTGTGTGTGTGTGTGTGTGTGTGTGTGTGTGTGTGTGTGTGTGTGTGTGTGTGTGTGTGTGTGTGTGTGTGTGTGTGTGTGTGTGTGTGTGTAGTA